TTTTAAAGAATACATATACACACACATATATAATATTTTATTATATTACATATATATAATATATTTTTTAAAAGGCTAATATGCAAAGTGTCCCCTTGGGGAGTTCGATCAATCACTATGACATGTGCTGACCACCAGGGGGCAGCACAGAACAAAGGAAGGCACCAATCATATATTTATATGTATATATATATACACACATACACATATACATTCACACACACACACACATATATATATTTTTTGGAGAATTATTCCCCCAAAATGAATACAGACTTTGAATAATGAATTCCAATAGGTTAAATCTAAAAAGAAAGAAAAATTAACTTAGCTATCAGCTTTTAAGTGTTGTGGGGGGGGGGGGGGGGAGGGACACCCAGTATATGCACCATGAATTCCTGGTTCATAGGTTTCATGAGTTGATGCTCAACCACTGAGCCACACTGGCCGGGCTCAAGTTTCTTCTTCTTTTTTTCTTTAAAGGAAGGGCCCTAGGAGCTTGGAAGTGAGGAAGGTAATGGTAATAGGCCTGGGAGGAGGAGGAGGGGGACAGAGGTAGGAGGGAGAGGGGGGAGAGAGAAGAGGAAGGGGAAAGGAGGGGAAAGGAGGGGAGGGGAGGGAAGGGTGCTGGCGTGCCTGGGAGGGAGAACACACTCTCAAGTTTCTCCTTTATGAGCTCCTTAGGAAATTGAAATTGTTGGCAGTAGGCCTGCATTAATCCCATTATAAGAAATAAACTTAAGACAGTCCCAAAGTTAAAGAAAAAATAATAAAGAGAAAACCCCACAGTTGGAGTGCGGTATATTGCAGTCAGTAAGAGAAAGCTGAATGAATAGGCCTGTGGTACACTGAACAGCATACGTCCTAATTCTGGAAACTGGGAATATGTTATATTACATGGAAAGGGTTGCAGCTGGACTTAAAGTCACTAATCAGCTGACCTTAAAATAGGGAGATCATCCAGAATTATCCAGGTGGGTCCAATGTAATCGCAAAAGTAGATGAGGGGTGTCAGGAGAGAAAGATGGGAGGAGGAAAGCAGGGACAGCGTGATATGACATGAGAGGACTTGTCTCTGTTGGCTCTGAAGATGGAGGAATGGGCTGTAATTCCAGGAATGCAGGCAGCCTCTGGAGCCGGGAAAGGCAGGGGAAGGGTGCCCCCTAGAGCCTCTGAAAAGGAACGCAGCCTTACCGACACCTTGGGTTTAGCCCAAGCATGTCAAACCCACGGGCCGCATGCAGCCCACAACGAATATTTTTGCGGCCCAGCCAATATAACGGCATGTAAAAAAAGTTTTAATAAAAATTTCGTAACTTAATTTTTACAAATTCTGTTATACATAATTATTAATAACGAACTACAACGTTCGCTAATGACTGATGACTATAATCCTGTTGCATTCATTTCCCTTACTCGCCGGCACCCCATTTCTCTCCACTAATACCAGCAGTGAATATTTTAGCAGCCGATGGCCAGTCTTGTCCTGGCTTGTTTGGTGTGCACAACAAACGGTTTCGGAGAACAAGAAAAATAGGTTTATTTGCGTGACGCTTATGAATTTGTGCAGTTATTCAGTGTCTGGTAAGTTCATGTTCAAGAAAAAATATTAATTTTTATTAAAATGTTCTATTATTTTATGTTAACGATGACTCATTTATTTCAGCCCTTTGTATTCAGCACGTCTCTATTGAAATAAACCCACATTTCTATGAAAATGGGAGCTTTTTGTGTGTTTTTTTCGGCCCACATACACTTACACCTTGTTTATTCAGCCTTTGAGTTTGACATGCTTGGTTTAGCCCAGGGCATTTTGGTCTTCTAACCTCCAGGACTGCACCATAACGAATCTGTGCTGTTTTAAGCCACTCAATCTGTGACAATTGTTACAGCAGCAACAGGAAACTGACACAAGGCCCAGTATTGGAAAAACGGGTGACAAACCAATATGACCTCCCTGACCTTGCACATCCTTCCCCGGTGTCTCTAATACCATCAGACTCGGCGAAACAACAGATAAGCTACTCTGTGGCCTGATTAGGGACAGTGTGCAAAGCAGATAGAAGAGTGTTTGGTACAGGGAAGGTGCTCAATACAAGTGGCCCCTCTCCCTTCCACCTTCATTGAGTAAGCAATTAAAATGTCATATTGAATAGGATACTTAAAAAGTGTTTTATTGCCGAACCGGTTTGGCTCAGTGGATAGAGCGTCGGCCTGGGGACTGAAGGGTCCCCGGTTCGATTCCGGTCAAGGGCATGTACCTTGGTTGCGGACACATCCCCAGTGGGGGGCATGCAGGAGGCAGCTGATCGATCTCTCTCATTGATGTTTCTAACTCTCTATTCCTCTCCCTTCTTCTCTATAAAAAAAATCAATAAAATATATATTTTTTTAATATATTTTATTGATTTTTTACAGAGAGGAAGGGAGAGAGATAGAGAGTCAGAAACATC